GTGTGCAGTAGGTAGGGCATAGGCAGCATGCAGTATGAATGTTGGGCATTTCACCTAATTTGGATTCTGGATTTTATTGCGCCCGTCACTGCTTATTGCTGTGGTGTTCCACTACCTACCCTATTTTTATTGCCATCTTTAATTAGCATGCGAGGCTGCCTATGAATTAATTAATATAATTATGAGTTGTGCTCATAATTGTATTAAATGCTCCTTTTTTTTTTTTTGAAAGATTAAATGCTGGCGTTCTAATAATCACTGTTTTTTTTGAATGCTATTGCTATTGGCTCTATTACAATGTAGTATCTGTTCATATATTTTCTCAACCTACTGAAACACAAAGAACCAATAACGCCTCCACTGAAGCTCAAACTCACAACCTTCTAAATGGAAGTCCAACCCGGGTACCATTAGACCACATAGTCTTGGTTAATAATAATCACTGTTTGATTTATGAAAAAAAAATAAAAATAACGGGCACTCATTTTACAAAGAGTAGTGCTATCTTCTCTTTTGATTTTAGTTCTTAATTTTTGTATCCTCTCTAATACCTTCGGTGAGTGGGTGTAATAAGTAATTTTTTTTTTTTTTTTTTTTTTTTTATGTTAGATGAGTTCGGGCAATTCACGGTAGCTAATAAAAATTATACTACCATGTCAAGAGATAAAAAATTAAGAGAAAAAATAATACAGAGTATTATTCTTTCAAAATTATACTTTAACTTAGGGGTGTGGTTGAGTGGAAGAGTCATCTGTAGGAGATTAGTAAAAAAAAGTCAACAACAACAATAAGAGATTTAATTCTCAATATGTAAAAATTCTTTAAATAAAAAAGTTACAACAAATGTATAGAAAATGGTTCTTTACTAAAATATTAAACAAATAAGAAGTTAGTTCTAATTTTGATCTTTCAACTATAGTGTTTCTAAAATTTTAATTATTTAGTTTAAAATTGACTAAATTTGATTATTCATCGATTATTGTCTCTTTTAGTTCTCATAAGAGATTTTAAAAAATGAAGTATTTTTAATAGTTGAAAGTCAACTTCTTGTGGTTAAAAATGGCATACTCTGTATTTTTAATACGTATGAAAGCATAATAGTGGAGACCAAAATTGATTCGATCTCTGAATATGGTTGGTAAAATTAGAGAAATGATGCATTTTATGAGGGTATAAGAAGAATTTAGAGATGATAAATAGTAAGTGGAGAACCAAAAAACAAGAAAGTAGTGGAGGGATTTAATTTTTAAAGAAAGTAGGGTAGGCGACAATATTCCAATTAATAATGAATGATTGATGAGAATTGAGAGGGGACCATACTGTACTTGAAAATACAGAAAGTCCACTTTCTTTGTGGGGTTTGGTTCTGCCTTCGTCACCCATTTGCCCATTTCTGCAACGTCTCCACCATCTTCTTCTTGCTTATAAGTTATAATTACTGCCATCCATTCATTCTCCTCTTCAAAGCTTCCATTGTGTCCCCGCCCATATATAATTTATGGTGCACAGAATCAAGTGAAAAGCCCAAGGTTCGATTCTTACTAGTCGAAGATTAACTTAGATAAAATTATTAAAGTTTTTTTTTTTTAAACATAAAACTATTAAAGTTGAGGACTCAATTGAGTAAAATTATCAAAGTCAATAGCCTAATTAAGAACAAAAGATGTTTAGACTAAATCTGATAGGGATATGGGACCCGGGGGTCCATTTTATTAAAAAGTATGGACCCATGTTAGGGTGGTGAAGAAAAGAGGTTGATCCAAGTTTTATTGGGCTAAGGGGACATGGTGGCCCAGGAAAGCACAAAGGAGGAGAGAGAAGGGATTTCCGGGGCAAAAACCGCCGGCGGCCGGCCGGAGATCCACCGGGGTGGTGGCCCGCCGGACTCCCGGCGGCGGGGCGTGGCCAGCGAAGGCCACTGGCCATGGGGGTAAAAAGCTATAATCAAAGAGGGCGCACTAGCAAACAGGTTTCGAACCCCCGCCCTCCTGCATTGCAGCGTGAAGCCAAGACTATCAGACCACACCATCACATGAGTACTAAGGCGCGACAGCATATATTTGTTCCGATAATAGTGGGCAGCCTCCATGGCCGGCCGTTGGGCGGCCGGCGACTGGCCGGCGCCGGGTCCCGCCGGCCATCTCAGGCCGAGGCGCGGCCAGCGGGGGCGGTGCGCCCCCGAGCTTGTCAACGGCATCCCCCCCTTCCCAAGGGGGTGTTGGGTCGTGAGGGTCGCGTGGTGCGGACGGTAAGGTGTGGTGCTATGGTGAACGTGCCCGCATGCGTAGCGACAAATGAGGGAGTGACAAGGAATTACGTGGGGCACGTAGATGCCAAGGGAGGAGAGGGGTATGCTATAAATAGGGGTCCTGGATCCTTAGCAAAGGGCAACTCAGACACGACAAGCACTACGGTCTAGTGGTCTTGATCTATACTTTCAACCCAGCTACCTGGGTTCGATTCCTACCACTAGCATAGTTAGCTATACCCCACCACGTGGGCTTTATTCTTTGTATTTGGGCCATCATTCTGGGCCTGTACCTCGGGCTTTATACGTATTGTTTAGGGCCTAGCGCCCCGGGTAATAAAGTCAATACTTTCATGCCCCCGTCCGGGTAATAAAGTCAATACTTTCATGCCCCCGTCCTATGTTCCTATACCCGATTTATGGTGGACCCGGTCCCAATAAAACCATCAAAATTGAATAAATCATTATAATTGATGAGTAACTGAATATGTACTAAGTGGCAGCTTACTTTTCAAAATAAACTAAAATATATTTAAAATAATAAAACTATTAAGGCATCCTCAATAGTGAGGATTTTGGTGTGGATTTTGAGGAGTTTTTGTAAGTGTGATTATGAAACAAAAAATAGGATTGGAGGAAAAAAAAAAAGAAATTAAAATTAAAAGCTATAAAAGAAAAAAAAATAAAGTGATTTACGCGCCCAGGCTGGCGCGTGCGCGAGAGTTGCGCCTCAGGCACTCCATTCAAATTGTGGATCCCACATTTTGATAATTTTGGGGTGCTTGCAAGAGAAAAAAAAAAAAAAAAAACTCCCTCCTCTTTATCTCTCTTCCAACTCACCCTTGTCTCCTAAAATATTGTGCCAAAATCCCTTCAAAATATCCTTTTGGGATGCCCTTATAAAAAAATCATCAATACTTTCCCCATTACAACACACCAGCACACGTTCATCGATCACTTCTTCAAACAAAAGAAAATGAGTGTGACCGATGGTCACCTTCTTCAAATCGTGGACGAAGTCTTCCTTAAATATGTGATCATTTTCCATTCTTGTTGTTGAAAAAAATTTGAAAAATTATAACAAAAAAATGTCATGTCATCGTTCTTTTACTGATAACTTATAAAGTGGATTTGATTGCAATACTTTTATTGAGTTTAAATATTTAATTACAATTTTTAAAAATTTAAGAAATTACTACTTTTACATATACAGAGTAAATTTTAAGATAGTTTATCTAATTTTCTTTCTAAATACCATAGGTTAGATAGTACTAAAAAAATTGCCATAATTTCATCAAAATAGTTTCTTTAGGGACCACGTACATACGTTCAATTGTTGGAGTATATGCTGCTTCTTCTTTTCTTTTTTTTTTTTTCAGTACCAAATGATACTTATCCATTTATTTACAACAAAGAAACGAAAATGCGTATCATCGTACTATCGTAGTTCATAATAATTCTGTCAGCATCTCTACCTATATACAAAGCACTTTACCAGAAAATAGGAAAAAGATGATGCTTTCTGAGCTGTATGTGCCAAAAAGCAATATTACAATCAACTTTTCCCTCACCAAATCCCTAAAAGTGGATTAACTTACACGGGGATTATCACCGTATCTCAAATCCGGGGAGTATATTTTTAAGAAAAATATTTGATGTACTCTCATTTTATACTCTTAACTTGTATTCTATCTTATATATTCTTGATATATACATTTTGCTGTGGACCCACATGATGAAAATAATCCATCCTTGTTTGACACCTTAGGGAGTATAAGTAAGGGAGTAAAATTTGGGAGTACGCATAGTATAACTCATATTTTAATTTTGTTAGACTAAGAGCATCCATAGTAGTAGAGTTTTTTTGCGGTTTTTGATGAGTTTTTGTAAGTGTGATTAGGAAAGAAAATATGGAGGGAAAAATGAAAAAAAAAAAAAAAAAAAAAACTGAATTTACAAAAAAAAAAAAAAAAAAAAAAAAGAAAAAGAAAGAAACAATGCGTAAGGGGCGCTGAGCGCGCCTGACGCACCACAAAGTGCGTGCAATGCAAGTGCCCGTGTGGCCACCTGCTGTGCGCGAAACGCGCACAACAAGTGATAATTTCAAAAAAAAAATACTGTTTTAATATTCATCCTTTCTAGAAGAACCCAAATCACTCTTCCCTCCACATCCTCATTTTTTTTTTTTTTGAAAATACATCCTCATTTACTCTTCCAATAGTCCAAAATAAACTACTGATAGGGATGCTCTAATATTTTAAATTGAAAAAAAATTATTGTCGTACCAATTATATTTTAAACCTTTTAAAATACTAATTTCATACTTTTTTTTTAAGATAAATACTAATTTCATACTAAATTTAAATTTTTGTACAATTAGAAGCAATCAAGCAACCCCATTTAACGGGAGACATGCAGTGACATGTTTACTTAGTGCACACTTTTGAATTGTAGCTGCGAGTTTCACTTATCATTCAAAAAAAAAAAGACAAAATATCTAATATGATCTTATTGATTAATTGGCAAGATATCCCGCGAGCATAATAATTCCTAGAAAGGATTTTATTATTGATACACAAAATAGAGTTCCATTAATATTCAAAGATGGAATAAGAATGTTAAAACTTAAAATTGATAAAATACATAATCTTAATAGGTAACTATCCATGAAATATTGAGTTAAATAGAATATATAAATTGGAATGCGGCGTGAAACTTTCCCCAATTAAGCCCATGCCCATCTTTATCTCTAACATCGTTATCCAGTATCTCCATCGCATGATGACGTAGACAGCTATTAGAATAAGGTTATGATGTCCTTAAAGTGAGGAAGTTACATTACATGTCAATCCTTGGAAGACACGGAGAGCAAAGGCTTAGAAGATAAATATATGGAGATAGAGCCCATATATTCTCCAGTTAACATAAACCAAGACTTATCCTTTTTTCATTGTGGGACTGGGAGAAGATGTTAGAAGGTAAAGGTTTAATTGAAGATACCGACATGCCGATGAAGATGCAGATTCAGGCTATGTCTTGTGCTTATCAAGCTCTGGATCTTTATGATGTTCTGGACTGCAAATCCATTGCTGCTCATATCAAGAAGGTAATCTGGGTGCATGCTCGATCTCTAGCTTAGCTTCTTCCTAGCTTTAATTTGTCCTGAAAGTTTTGGGTTTTTGATTTGATTTGCAGGATTTTGACAAGAGATATGGGAATGGGTGGCAATGTGTGGTGGGAACAAATTTTGGGTGTTTCTTCACACATACTAAAGGAACTTTCATCTATTTCACATTGGAGACTCTAAATTTCCTCATCTTCAAAGGAGCTACTGCTTCTCCCCCAACTATTCCTTAGTTTGATCAAAGCTGCTGGGTGGTTTCAACTTTCAACTTTCAACTTTGAAGGAGGAGAGATTAATTAGGTAGTCAAAGAAACAGGTGGTGTAATTACCCCTTCCTCTCTGTTATTTCCCAGCCAGTGGGATTTTTGTCTGCTAAGCTACATCTGAATAGGCTGTGAGGTTAGTGGTAATGGTAGAGTTGAAGATTTTGCAGGCTGAAATTCCTGCAAAAGCTCTTTGTGGATCACCATAATTGCCATTGAAAAGCCTTATTTATGCTTCTTATTTGTTTAATGCCATGTTATGTTCAATGAAATTGTGATACTGTTGTTATGATAGATATATTGTAATATTTACATATGAAATTGTGATACTATTTAGAATAAAAATTGATTGTTACTAATGATAAATATTATAATATTTATAATTGAAATTGTGATACTTGCACACCCTATTGTCTACAACGCGATCAATTTTATAGATAAAGATCTGGGAGATAATCTCACTCTTTTTGCCAAATTCTAAAGATTTTTCCCTTTGTTCCATTTTATTTATCCTACTTATTATTTATTGGTCAAATCAACTCTGTCTTCTTTGTTTATTTTTGAAAAAATGGCACTTTTTCCCCTGAGTTATATACTTATAGCACTTTTTCCCCCTCAATTATTTAGGTAAGCACATTATCCCCCTCAATTATTTAAAAAGTGGTGCTTTTTTCCCTTGATATATTAAATTGACATTTCTACTCTTAATGTAAACATTTGATTTATTTTACTTCTCCAAATTATTGCGTATACGTAGGGATGACCACGGTTCGGTTTGAACTGAACCGGACAATAAAGCAATCGAATTAAAAGTTTTCGGTTATGATTCAGATCTAGAACCCAATATTTAGATGTCAATTTATTAAAATTATGTTTCAAAAAAATTGAATCTTGAACCGTGAACCGGCGGTTCCGGATGCGGTTCACGATTTTGAACCGTCTTTATTTTAAAATTTTATTTTTTATTTTAAAATAGTCTAAATTCAACAATAAATGTATTTTATTTTTTCAGTTCGGAACATGAACCGTCCGTTCCGGTTCACGATTTTAATAAACTCTAAATATTGGGTTTCGATTCTAAATTGTAATTGGAATATTTCAGTTTGGTTGCTATAGTGTTTGTTTGGTTTGAACCAAATTATGGTCATAATTTGTTGGAAAAAAAAATAATAAATGAAATATTTATTTTAAGGGTAAATATGTCCATTTAACATTTTAGGGGGAAAAATAGCCATTTCAATAATTCAGGGGGGAAAAATGCTATAGGTATATAACTCAGGGGAAAAAGTGTCATTTTCCCTTTATTTTTTATTTGTTTTTTAAATTTGATTTTGTTGTGTTTAATAGTACTAGTATTTTCACCCGTGCGATGCACGGAGTGGAATTGTTGTAATATATTAAGAATATTTAAATTGATATATAATTATTTAAGAGTTAATTTCACCCGAGGTCGTTTATCTTTCCTGACAATTCCAAATTTAATTCTAGACTATAGTTATTAATTATTACAATTTATTCTATGTTACAACTCTTACGTTAATATTCTTACTATTATTATTAACACTTAATTACTTTTAAATATTATTATTACCACTTATATTATTATTATTATTATTATTATATTATTATTATTATTATTATTATTATTATTATTAGTTTCTTTTCAAGTACTGTTAGTATATAATGGTCGTGAGGCACAATAATAATATAACCATAATTAAATATTCTTGTATTGTATTCTGGAGTTAATGCCATTTTTGGTCCTAGACTTATTTAGACATTGACATTTTTCATCCTCCATAATAAAAATTGCCACTTAGTAGACACTGTTATTGGTCGTTGGACAGTTTTGATCCTCCGTCAATGAAGCCGTTTGTTGACCGTGAATTAGAAGGGCTTTTCTGGCTTTTTATGTCTTATTCTTCTAATCTTGTTTAGACCAGCACTACTGTGACTCCTGTGAGGCGAGGTGGCGAGACTTGGCGGCTAAGTAGTAACCGTCGGTAGTGAGTAGCAGCGAGGTTCTTCTCCGACGAGTTGTGGGTACGGCGGCGAGCATACGAGGCAGTAACTCCTTCCGGCGACGGACCAGTAAGGCAGATCTGGCGGTGCAGCAACAGATCCGGCGAGGTTGGGGCCTTCACCGGTGGTTTTTGGTTCGGTGAAGCAGAGAGGGCAGCAGGTCGGCGAACCCTCCTATGGTAAATATCAGTTGTAGTTGTAGATGGCGCGATGTAGAATTTGCACCTGTAAGTCCCCCCTTCCATATTGACCACAAATATCCTTCACATCTCTCTCTCTCTCTCTCTCTCTCTGACCACAACTACTTGGTGCACAACCTCAAAAACTCTGTTATTCTACCTGAAATTCATTGAAGTTTCAAGCTGAAAATGTGGAATCCGCCGTTCCCCAAAAATCGCATTGTCTGAGGTGTTGGAATGGCCGGTGTTGACTTCCTGGCTGCTGTAGCTTCATTCCCCAACCCGGATGATAAAATTCATAGCACCATCTTTGAGGTTCAAGGAGGTGGTAACACTGGCAATGCTTTGGAAAAACCCGGATGATAAAATTCGTCTTGGTCTTAATCCAAGGATCATATCTAAGGTTGCTGATGACTCGCATGGCGAAAGAATACTTGATGAGCTTGAAAGGGATGGTGTTGATACATCTTTTATGGTGGTGTCCAAAGGAGGAAACTCACCATTCACATATGTCATTGTTGACAACCAAAAAAAAAAAAAAAAAAACTCGCACATGCATTTTCACTCCAGGATATCCACCCATAATATCTGAGGGTCTACATGCCCAAATCAAAATTGTCTTCAGCGCTTAGAGTAAATATTGTCTACTTAGATGGAAGGCTGCATGAGACTGCTTTGATTGTAGTGCAGGAGGCAAAGAGTAGGGGCATACCTATTATAGTTGATGCAGAAAGGTTAAGGGATGGGTTGGGTGATATTCCTGACTTTGCTAGTTATGTTGTATGCTCGACAAAATTTCCACAAGCATGGACTAACGCCCTTTCTATTCCAACCGCACTTGTTTCCATTATCGTGAGATTGATGTCACATGTAAAATTCGTGATTGTTAGTTGGGTGAAGATGGTTTCTTAATGTTAGAAAGGACTGAAGCGGATAACCTCAGTTTGAAGAAATTGATGTAGCAGTGACCAATGGATGGAGAAATACAAGGATTAGAACATAAAAAGAAAGAAAAACCCTTCTAATTCACGGTCAACAAACGGCGTCATTGACGGAGGATCAAAACTGTCCAACGATCAATAACAGTGGCTACTAAGTGGCAATTTTTATTATGGATGATGAAAAGTGTCACTGCCCCAATAAGTCTAGGACCAAAAATGGCATTAACTCTTGTATTCCGTGAGTCACAATAATAATATAACAATAATTAAATATTGTTCAATTCTATATTCTTCTAGGATTTCTATTACCATCATTAATTATTCCCAAATTTACCATAATTAAATAATTTGACCAATTATAAAGAAAGATTATTAAATAATGCACGGGACAATTGTTTAATTAAAAATTTTAAAAATTCATTAATAAAACATAAGGTTCTCATAGTTTTTTCTTAGAAACACTTTAATAAAGTATTTTTTTTTTTAGAAATTGGTGGGCCAAACCGCCTACGGCAGTTTGTGGTGGATAGATCTCGAAAAAATATGCGATTTCAAAAAAACATTTGTCCAAAACGGACAACGGATTCAAAAGTTATGCCTTGCCGAACTTTTGACACTTTACAACTTAAAAAAAAAAAATTAAAGGCCGGTTCAACCGGCAAGGCGGCCGCTGAGGAGGCCGATTCCGGCATTCCTCGCCGCGCCCAGCGACACAATTTTTGCAACACTGATATATAAAATAGATATAGATTAGAATAAGAATAGTATTACACAATTTTATAATAATACAATAAAATTTTAACCCAGAATTATTGTAGAAATCAATATATTTTATTAGGAAGAGTGATTTTTTAGGAATTGGGTAGGAAGTTAAAATTTCAGGAGTTTGTTTTTATATATATTATAGATAAATTGTATTACACTATTTTATAATATTAGAACAGAATTTTAACGCAGAATTATTGTACGAATGGGAAAGTAGAAATCGATATATTTTATTAGAAAGAGAGATATTTTAGGAATTGGGCGGGAAGTTAAAATTTCAGGATAGATAGATTGTATTACACTATTTTATAATATTAGAACAGAATTTTAACGCAGAATTATTGTACGAATGGGAAAGTAGAAATCAATATATTTTATTAGGAAGAGAGATATTTTAGGAATTGGGCGGGAAGTTAAATTTTCAAGATTTTGTTTTTATATATAGTATAGATTTAGTGTAGTTTCTAAATATATAAATTTTGTATATTAATACTAAACTTAATATTACGGAAAATGGAATTAAAAATAACTTCAGTCAAGCCTCGTTAATCGAACTATACACATAAAATGAGACGGACGGAGTATATCTCAATATAATCTGGAAACCCATGCTTAAGACAAATAGATCAATTGAAGAATACAATATCAAAGGACATTAAGCACCTCATATCCTATATTTATGTTGTCTGCTCCACTTTCTCCACTGTATTATTGGTACTCATCTAATCTGATACCTTGCTTCAGCAATTATGGAGGCATGACAAAAACTATACTGCAGATGAATTGATTGCATATGCTAATATCAGTAGGCATTTAGTCAAATGCAGACTCGCAAGACCTAATTTCAGGAATTCAAGCCTCCAGTGCTCTATTGTAAAGAAAGAGGTGAGATTTTTATGTAGCAACTATTGGGCGGAGGCCACTAAAAGGCCAACTCCAGCACCATGTGGCTTGAGGAATTGTTAGGCGAGACCAGTAAAGGGTCAAGTCTAGCGTCTGGCTCTCGAAAATCTGGTGGCGGTATAAGGAAAAAAGTTGTGCCTTCGCTACTAGCTATAGCTTTTGGTAAGCGTTTGATCCTAACACCAAGTAAGAGAATAGCACATTAGAGAAATCTGAAGAGGTCTGAACTTATGCTCAAACCACAGGAGTGAGTAATGGTTTGTTAAGAAAATGAGCCTCCAGATTTGCAATGACAAGATCAGCCATGGCTCTGCAAGTTTCAACAGTGTCGCTTCCAACGTGAGGCAGAAGAACAACGTTCTTTAGCCCAAGAAACTGTTCAGGCACGCCAGGCTCATTCTCGAAAACATCAAGCCCAGCCCCACCTAACCGGCCTTCAAGTAAAGCAGACACAAGTTCAGGTTCATCTACATGAGCGCCTCGCCCTATATTGATGAGAACGCCGTTGGGACCTAACGCATCAATCACCTGACGATTGACAATGTGCCGGGTTTCTTCTGTCAACGAACAAGCAACAACAAGGATTTGGCAATTGGCAGCCAAATCTACAACATTCGAGTAGTATTTGTAGTTGTTATTCGGCTTCTTCGACCTGGCGGTGTAGCTAATTCTGCAGCCAAATGCTTCAGCTCTCTTAGCTATTGCTGTACCAATTCTGCCTAATCCAAGTATGCCAACTGATTTACCGCTGAACTGGAAGAACAAAAGATTAAAATCAAGAAATTGAAGAGGGGACACAGAAGCAAATATAAACACATGATACTTCAAATGTTCTTATTCAACTTCATCTTCAATGGAAGCTTTGCCATTTTTCTGGTATTCCTTGCAGAAATGATTGTCCCATAACCAAATTCAAGTTCAATCCCTTGAATTGGACCACGAAAAACATACAACTATCACTATCAGGAGTAACATTTTCATTTTCAGCATAAAAATTAAGAAAAAGTGTCAAATAAGTCACTGAAACTTATTGCGTTTGTGCAATCGAGTAGCAATCAAATCATCAAACAATCAAAATATATGTTATTTGATTCATGAGCCAATTACACAAACTATTTGAGATTTATTCCTAAAATTTGTATAACTTTATAGAACAAAACAATGATGCCAATCAATTACGAATAATCAAACTACTAATCCGGTTATGAGAATGAGTTTGACAAACCTTAGTAGCGAGCTCAAAATCGCCATTCCTCCACAACCGACTTCTTACGAAGCTATCAGCCACGCATATTCTCCTCAACGTAGCCAAGACCAGTGCGATTGCCGTATCGGCGACTTCGTCAGTGAGCACATCGGGAGTGTTGGTAACTCTAATTCCCCGCTCTCTGCATTTAGGCAAGTCAATCTTATCGAACCCCACGCTGTAGGTGGAGACGATTTCCAGGTTGGGCAGGGAATCGATGAGCCATGAATCAGCCCCGCACGAGGCGTTTCCGACTACGGCTCGGATTGACCCGGAGTTGTGCTTCAGGAAATCGGAGTTGGAAGGAGCGTCCCAGAATCGGAAGAGCTTGAACCGCTTCTGGAGTTGCGCTTCGAGATAGGATGACATTGGACACGTCATCAACACGCCCGCGTTCTCCATTTTTGATTCAGTGTGGCTTCTCAAGTTTGGTTGCAGCAGCGAGTGAAGTTCAAAGCAGAGCGAAGCGGACTGTGACAGGTCTGGGTCGGGTTGAATAGCAAGGCAACAGGCAAATTATTGTAGCTTTCTCCATCACGGTCCAATACGATGTTGTTTGATGTCAAAAAAATTCTTACTCCGCGTATTAGAATAATGTACACTCTAAGGTAAAATAATGTATTTTATGGGTTAGAGTAATGTATTATATGTGTTAGAATAATATATTTTATGTGTTAAAATAATACATTTTATATGTTTTTTTTTTAACATAATCCACACAGCTATGTGAATCACGATCCACACAATAATGATTCCCTAATCTCATGGTTTAGAAAGAAATTGCGACAATACTGGGAAGTAAAGATTAGTGACATTTTCATAGAAGTAGATGATAATGTTATGTGTAAAAGACCTTGTGGTCAAGTGACATGAAGTGACTCTTTCAAATGAGAGGGAGTTTATGGATATGGTATCAACTCGTTGGGCTAGACATAATAATGGTGATGGTTTGCCAAAATTCACTATATTTGCATAATTTAATTCAAATACAGGCCCTGTTTGGTAAAATGTTAACATATAGTCAATTTTTGCTTATTTGACCACTATTAATTATTTGACTTGGTTAACAAATTGATGTAAGTCTTTGGTTAATTAGCTTTTTGTAACTCTAAATTGTTAAAATTTAAAAAAATTACTCAAAGCAACTTTCTCAATTAGCTTTTTGAAAAAATGAATTATCTAATTTACCAAATACTTTTCTATAATCAGCTAATATTATCAACTAGTTATACATTCTAATTAACTCAATCAACTAACAATTAACATCATTTACCAAACAGAGCCACAATTTTTGTATAGAGAGAGATGAGGAGATGCCATTGAATCAAAGTATCTATAAGGTCTCTGTACTATTGTGTTTTGTTCAATTTAGGCCTTCTACCTTAATTTTGTTCAATTTAGTCCCTGTACTTTAAAAAGCGAAACAATTAAGGACAATAGCTTATGTAGCGCTGACATTATCTTTGCCATGTCATCATAATTACATGCCAACTCACGTATTATTTTATAAATATTTAAAATTAATTACTTTTACTATCAATATATTACATTAATATGTCCAAAATAAATACATAAATATTTGCTCACATAAACTATTGTCTTTAATTGTTTCAATTTTTAAAGTATATGGACTAATATGAACAAAATTAAAGTAGAAAGGCTAAATTGAACAAAACACTATAGTACAGGACGTCATAGGTACTTTGAGTATGCCATTGTGTAGATGTTGTGTTCGTCCCTTTTGGTCTCCAATTGTGTTCCTTTTATAGTTCAACAACAGTATTGCATATTTGCATATTGTAATGGGGTTTGCGTATATGATTATCTACGGTAGAATGGAATATTTTGGAATATAGAGGTAACTTAAGAAAGATAAATATATTTAGGCAGTGGAGGTGAGTTTAGGGAGGTAAAGATATTTAAGTAAGGGAAAAGTGTCAATTGGCCCCTTAAGTCAATCGGATAGTTCAATTGGGTCTCCTAACTTTAAAAAGCTCCATTCAGATTCCCTAAACCTGTAAAATTGTTCAATTAAGTCCAAGGTGACACCCAACTTAAAAAAGCTCCATTCAGATCCCCTAAACCTGTAAAATTGTTCAATTAAGTCCAAGGTGACCTGTTTAACAGGTTATAAATCTTCACATTGTTGACACGTGTCATTTAAAAAAAAGTTGTTTTTTTTAAATGATTTATTTATTAAAAATATATTATATAAAAAAAATAAATTAAAAAAAAAAACAAAGCTGTTTTTTTTTTTGAAAACGCACAAAGCTGTAGGTGGCTGTTTTTTTTATTTTATTTTATTTTATTTTATTTTTTATATATAATATATATTTTAATAAATAAATAAATAATTTTTAAAAAATATATTTTTTTAAAAAATGACACATGTCAACAATGTGAAGATTTAACTTGTTAAACAAGTCACTTTGGACTTAATTGAACAATTTTACAGGTTTAAGGGATCTGAATGGAGCTTTTTTTAATTAGGGGACCCAATTGCACTATCTGATCGACTTAGGGGGCCAATTTGACACTTTTCCCTTTAAGTAATAAGTAGTAAAGGTCACTTAGGAAAGTAAAGAATATTTAAGAAAGTATAAATAATATAAGTTGATCGGGTTGTTTTTCCATAACTATAAGATCGTCATAATTACTTTCATTTAATGCTAGATTGCCATAAATATTATTCCTATCACTTTGAGTCTTTGACTGGTCGGTATGCTTTCTCACCGCAAATTATGCCCTGGACCCGTGTTCACAATGCATTGTGGACATGAGTCTAAAACGACGTTGTTTTCAGAAAAAACGCGTCATTTCAGTTTTTTTTTTTTTAAAAAAAAAAATGATTTTGTCTCGCCGTTAACGCTGTTAACGGCGTTAACCGCTATGCTTTCTCACCGCAAATTTGCTCTGGACTCGTGTCCACAATGCATTGTGGACACGAGTCCAAAACGACGTCGTTTTTAGGGAAAACGTGTCATTCCAGTTTTAAAAAAATAATTGATTTTGTCTCACCGTTAACGACGTTATTCGTTTGTGCGATTTTGAATGTACAATTATGACGTTATATATGAATGTACAGTTATGGAATTATGAACACAGAGCTCTGACATTATGAACTTACAATTATGAACATATAGTGATAAAATTATAAACATAGATCTCTAAAATTGTGAACATAGAGCTTCGAAAATTATAAATGTATGTTATGGAGTTATGAATGTACAGTTATGTGATTATGAATGTGCAGTTATGGAATTATGAATGAACTGTTATTGAATTATGAACACAGAGCTTTGACATTATGAACTTACAATTATGAGTGATAAAATTATGAACATAGAGCTCTAAAATTGTGAACATAGAGCTTCGAAAATTATGAATTTACAGTTATTGAATTATGAATGTACAGTTACGGAATTATGAATGTACAGTTATGAAATTATTTGAACACAGAACTCTGACATTATGAACTTACAATTATGAACATATAGTGATAAAATTATGAACATATGCTCCTATAACGAAGCAGTCTGAAATTTAAAAAAAAAAAAAAAAAAAAAAAAAAGTGGAAGATAACGGTGCCACTAACGGCACCGTTACCGTGTCCACACTCTGCTGGACATGGGTCCATAGCATAACGATTGCCTCCTCACCTTTTGGGCTCTCACTGAGCAGTTGCTAGGCCCAATTAATAAATCGCTCATTGACCTACCAGGTAGGCCCTAGTATTGGCAAATTGTGCTGTGGAACTGTGTCCACCTTGCAATGTTCATAATTATGAATATATAGTTCAAAAATTATGAACATATAATTTTATAATTATAAACATAGAGTTGTGAACATAATTATGAACATATAATTTTGTAATTATGAATATAGAGATTCAATAATTGTGGATATGAAGTTCAAAAATTATGAATATATAACTCTATAATTATAAACATATAATTCAGTAATTAAGAACATAAAGTTCTGTAATTGTGAATGTAGAGTTCAATAATTATGAATATAAAATTTAAAAATTATGAATATATATAATTTTATAATTATAACATATAATTCAATAATTATGAACATAAAAACTGTATCCACCTTACACACTATTCCACATCATAACAATTGCCCTAGTACCACCCCATGCCAACAAATAATAGTAGTAATGTTGCTAAATAGACTATAGGTATTGTTTATTACCAAAATTAATTAATAGCTTAACAATGAAATATATGATAAATAATCATTTATGGTAAGTATTTCAATCCTATTAATTAATAATTACGGAGTATATATGTTAATGACAACCATGAATAATTAATTTCCTAATAAAAAAAAAAAAAAAAAAAAAAAAAGAGGATTTGTGTGAAATCGAAACTACTTAGTGCTGAGGTGTCATAGTTTGATTTCATTCTGGAAAACATGCACCACAACATACTCTCAGCCATTCAACAACATTAAACAGCTGAAGGCTCAGCACAAACATCCATTCTCCATTCCCATCAAACCATTGCCTCCATTTTCCCCATTCCAACCCCAAAAAAAAAACAAAAAAAAAAAACAACAAAACAAAAACCAAAAAAAAAAAAAAATGAATTAATCAAGGGATATTTTCCTCTTCATGGTTTCCTAATCCATAAATCAAAACCAACATCATCAGCTTGAATCATCAAAAACATGGTTGGAGTTGTTGAGGAAGAAAAGGAGAATTCCCAGAACGCTAATAACAGTGATTCCAAAGGAATGAGTGAAAATGGAGGAGGAAGCACCAACAGCCCTAAGGCCACAGACAAACACCCATCAGGCAATTCTGCTTTTTTCATGTTTTATTTTATTTTATTTTATGAAATATATGTTTTATGGATCAGGCTTTTTAAGATTCTCTTTAATATGTGTTTTGTTTTTTGCTGCCATTGATCTAGACATTGCTCTGATGAAGGAGAGGTTTGCAAAGTTACTTCTGGGAGAAGATATGTCTGGTGGTGGAAAGGGTGTTTCATCAGCACTGGCATTGTCAAATGCCATCACAAATACAGCAGGTATATATGTATAATCTTATATTTGATTTGATTGTATCCATTATTATAATATGCTTTATTGTATCTGATACAATCTAATATGTTATTCGGATTGTATCTGGTATTATAGTATGCATGATTGTATCAGATACTATGAGACGAATCTAATGATCTGTTCCTCCAAACCGATATTCATCACAGCTTCTGTGTTTGGAGAAATAAAGAGATTAGAGCCAATGCCGCCAGAAAGGAAGGCGAGATGGAGAAAGGAAATTGATTGGCTTTTATCTGTCACTGATTACATTGTTGAACTTGTTCCTTCCAAACAGAAGGGTAAAGATGGATCAACCATGGAGGTAATTAGTTCTTTAACCACCAAACATTCAAAACTGATAATAATAATAACAATGATGATGATGTTTGTCACAGATTATGGTAACAAGGCAGAGAAATGATCTACACATGAACATTCCTGCACTTCGCAAGCTAGATGGAATGCTTGGTGTAAGATTAGATATAATGCACTTCTTTTAATTTATGCATTATATTATTTGGTATGTGTTCCTTATATATATATATTTTTTTGAATGCTCCTGACTCTATTACATTGTAGTATCTGTTCAAATATGTGTTCCTTATATTGATCTGATGATTTTTTTTAAAAAAATGGGTAACGAACAGGCGTGTCTTGATAGCTTTAAAGATCAAAACGAGTTCACCTATGCATCGAAGGATGATCCAGATTCAAAAGGGAAGGGCAGGAAAGATGACAAATGGTGGTTACCTATTCCGAAAGTCCCTCCAAATGGCTTGACTGAAGCTTCAAAGAAATGGATACAGTCTCAGAAGGACTCCGTAAACCAGGTGCATAAAGCAGCTATGGCTATAAATGCTCAAGTCATTGCAGAAATGGAGATCCCCGAGAGTTATATAGAAGCTTTGCCAAAGGTAACGTAACGAACACTACTAATTAGAATTCTTGGAATCCTGCAGGCTCCTTAAAGTTTTGTCTTTTTTGTTATGTTTATGCTAGAATGGGAGAGCAAGCCTTGGGGACTCGATTTATAGGAGCATCACGGATGAATACTTCGACCCAGATTATTTCCTGTCGTCCATGGACTTAACTTCAGAACATAAAATCCTAGACCTTAAAGATAGAATTGAGGCTTCTGTGGTGATTTGGAAAAGGAAGATGACTGCTAAAAACGAGAAATCAACTTGGAGCTCTGCTGTGAGTATTGAGAAACGAGAGCTGTTTGAAGAGCGAGCAGAGACTATATTGCTCATTCTCAAGCATCGCTTCCCTGGAATTCCTCAGTCTTCCCTAGACATCAGCAAAATCCAATATAACCGAGTAAAATTTAAACTATCCTTCACACTCACACATATATTTTCTCTTTATATTTCATTTCATTTCTGATTCTTGAATAATGCTCCTTCAGGATGTGGGGCATGCAATTCTGGAGAGCTATTCGCGAATAATTGAAAGCCTGGCATTCACGGTGTTATCACGAATAGAAGATGTCCTCCACGCGGATCAAATTGCAACGAATCCCCCAGAAGAGGAAGAAAGCGGGGAGAGGGCATGTGCTGCCACAGACAGAACAACATCGATGACATTGTTGGATTTCATGGGATGGGGGCTGGACCAAGGAGATAGCGGCACCCCAAGGAACGATGGTAGCGATGATTCAGGCAAAGAAGGCGACATGGCAGCAAATAAGCCACCGGACATACCAGCAGCCAACAAGAAAGGCTCCTACGTCGAGAGCATAGGCAGTTATGGAAGTCCCATAGCACGCCAATAAACACTTGGCAGCTGATTCAACCTCGGATTCATCAAACCCCAACTGCCACTTCACTCGGTAACCCATTTTGTAAGTAGTGAAAGTTAGTACATTTACCGGGTTTTTGGGACATGATTGATTCAAGCCAACCTTCTTCCATGTATTAAATAATAGACATGTAAGTTGTTGCTGTAGTAAAATTCACATATTGTATCAATATAAAAACGATAAAGTATAGAAAGTGTTTGCCTGCAATATATAATTATTATGGGGGACCATATACATTGATCTCTATATATGTTGTAGTAATATATATATATAGCTTTGTTCTAGCAGCTGTTATGGTGTTCACATTACATCAGTTGAGATATGATTAGAAGGTGTTCAATTCGGTTCCTACTATAATAATCATCAGTTGAGGTATGATGATTATTATTATCCATCTTCACATTGCAAACATTTTTTGATCTTTTGCAAAGTGCACGATACGAGGTTGTTGAGTGAGTCGATCGAGTCCATAGAAAGCTTGGCTGTTGGAGAGTTGCTGGTTAGGATTTGGAAGGCAATTGTTAGCAAGGATCCCCCTTCTGTGCTCTTTTCTTCTGGTTTAGAAGTGATTAGCAATGGCCTGGAGTCGAGGCCATCGGGGAGAATTGAGAAACCCGAAGCTAAGACTGCTGTGTTGCTGGAGTCGCAGCCCGTCATCACAGCTTGCATGCTGCCAATGTCTACAGGGGCATACACCACCATCGATTCGTAAACATTTGTGCATGTGTCTTGGAGGAGCCACATGTTGTTTTCTTTCGATTTCGTTGCCTGGGCAGACACAACATTATAAGTTGAATGTACATACATTTGTTTAAGGTACGAGGATTGAAAAGATACATTTGGTCGGAAATTCCATAATTTCCAGCAGTGATATCAGATTACTCACAAGAATGGTGACAGCGTTTCCTCGGTCCTGCCCTTTTGCTAGATTTGCAATGGATTCCACTGGACCTCGGTTTGACATGATGTCCCACTTTGACAAACACAACAGATAGAAATCATTGAAACTAACCTCTCAGTTTTAATTTCCCAAAACGAAACCTTAATAGTAAATACTAATTAATTACCTCATGTCTATGAGTTTCATCTCTGAGGAATTCGAAAAGAGCATGGTGAGAAACTGGCAACCAGACAGAAGAAACTGCAGACAAGATGACCCCAAGGGGCTCTCCAGGATCACTTAAGTTCTTTCTAGAAGCCACCCTGATATCATCCCCAGTTTTGGTGGGGATCTTGTTCCATGTGTTGTAACTTGAAGCTCCAAGTGCACGGAAAAAGGCCAAACACATCCTCTGCGCCAATGTCAGTATGCTTTTCCGCCCCGCAAGAGTGGCAACACCTGCTTAATTAGAAAAGCATTTCTGACATACAAAATTGAAACATGTGCTCTATCTCAACTAGAACGCTAAGCTGATAGTTGAACGGACTTAAATATGAGTGGAAGTTCACCAGTTGAATCTTTTGTGGGAACATTTGTTGCCATGTAGAAGACGAGGCGCTCGCAGTGTTGCTGTAGCGTTACCATCCAGTGATGCGCACCAAAAGCTGAACCACTGTTAACTATGGCACGGTACAGCGAGTGAACTGTGCTCTTTTGGCATTCCAAGTGCTCCACCCAGGTCACCTGAAAAGGGATCGAAAATCAAGAAAATTAATAAACTACTCCTGTTGCAAGTTATACTTATAACATTATAGTTACTAAGTTAACGGCCAACTAATTTGTCTGACATGTTATCCTTATTTGTTGAAAAATAATAATAATAATGGTACAAGGTAGAAAGAAATAAAAGAAGAGATATGAGATGAGAGAAAAGAGAAGTCCGAGCAGGACAGAGTACCTTGCAGTGACCATTGGAGTTATCGTGGATAATGCAGCCCGAGGGACGCTTTCTGCATTTGACAAGAGAGGCATCAATGTTGTCCTCTACCTTGTCAACTGAAACGTCAACAATCGCCCACTCATCTCCACTTAACTGCTTACAGTAACGGACAAAATACACTTCTCTTGTGCCCACCACTGGTGTTAGCATCTGCACTTCTGCAAACATCTGTGCATGCCATGCAACCCCATTTTATTTTTCTTTTACTTTTACTATTATATATGTACCACTGTACCACCATCAATTAATACATTTTTCACTTTCTCTCTCTCTCTATATATGTATATGGAAAACACGTACTCTCATTTTCAACTTCCAATTTGTACTCTCACACACAAAATCTTCTTGATGTAAACACGTGTATTGAGACTCAAATGAAAAAAGTAACATATCAGTACCCGACACATTAGGAGTAAAATTTGGGAGTCTATATAGTACAACTCTCTCTCTCTCTATATATATATAGCTCTCCTGCGTGTATTTACACTAGCTGATCTGAATCTTATCATCATCATATCAAAGATATGACCTATCTCTTTTTTCTCCCCTATCTACTACCCATGTACCCTATTTTCACCAGCTTTTTGTTCTCTTCCTGTGTGGGTCCTTCAATCATTTCTTACTGCCATTTTCGTATCTCCTGTCCATGCATCTCCTACGCTCTCAAGCTAACCAATCCAACACACACACACACACACACACACACACACATATATATATATATATATATATATATATATATATATATATATTGAAAATGGTAGGGGTAGAATATAATTTCTATCAAGTGTTTAAAAAAAATACAAAATGAGAGTTCACATAATATTATTTTTCTTAAAACAATATTACTGAAAAATGTAATCTATTATATATATGTATATGAATATATAAATGCACACTAACTACTTCCAAGCGTGCCTGAATGACGGTGTAAACCCTTTGACTAGTTAGTGTGCACTCATGCACTTGTTAGCACGGTCTTACATTAAGAATGGTTCTCATTTAAAAGACAACTTACCAACTGAGCTGCGCCATTCCAGTTACCATTAGCTCCATCTCCAACGCTGATAACATCTACCGTGGCTGCCTTTGAGATCATGCACGGGAACATTTCTTTCCATTGATTCTACAACGTACGTAAATGAAACAAACCATCAAAATAACGTAACATAGTTTAGTACGTAGATATGATATGGTCTTAATTAATTACCGCATCCATGAAACTTTGAACGAGGCGATGAGGCTCCATGAACACAATCCCTGTGTCTCTGGAGGCCTCGATGGAGGATCTCTTAGGCGGCAGAGCAGTGGTGGGTGCAGATTTGTCGACGGAAAAGGCCTTCACATATTCGTCGTAATTAAGAATCTCCCGACCGGTCTCAAAGCTTCTTATCCACAATGGTGCCGCCGAGGAGGCCATCTTTTTCAGCTCTTCCAGGGCTACGTTAACCACGTCCATAATCCGAGATTTTTCCAGGCCGAAAATGCCGGTGTAGAAATCCAGTGCACTTCTGCTCTCTTGCTCGTTCCCTCCTGAACATGATGATGAGTTGTTTGGCGATGTTCCTGCTGGGTATTTTCCCACCGCTGCCCGGAGCTTCTCCACCTGCATACATATTTAGTTTAGTGTGTGAAAAATTCATATATTTAAAAATTACATTAAAAGTATTACTCTTTCTGTCCCATTTTATCTCTCATACTCACTATTTATTTGTCAAACCAACTTTTTTTTTAGTATAATTTACTTATTTTTAAATTTGATGTTTTGTGTTTAATACTACTTTTAGTGTAATTTCTAAATATATACATTTTGGATACTAATATTAAATTTAATATTATGAAAAATTGAATATAAAATAACTTCAATTAAATATGGTTAATTGAACCAGCCACATAAAATGGAACAGAGAAGTATTAATCATAAATTATTACATTTAAAAATTATTTAAAATATTAAAGAAAATGAACAAGTAAAGAACATTAGTTTGGCCAAAAATGATTTGTAAAGAGTATAGGTAAACTGAGACAACAAAAATGATTTGTAAAGAGTATAGGTAAACTGAGACAAAGGGAGTGTACTTGTCTCAATTTTGAATTTTGTTCAAAATAATTTTTTTTTTACTTTATACTAAGATTTATATTTTCTAATGATATAATTATAAATTAATTAGCTAAAATATATTTACTTAAAGGCACAATTTTGTAGGCAAGATTAGGTAAACTAGCATATATAGTAATTGTGTCTTTAAAAAAAACCATCATTTTGGTATCTATGCAACACTAATTGCCATCTTGACTAATTTCACCATGAGGCTAACTTTTGTGCACTATTTTATTATGAGAAATTCTACAAAGTCAGATATTAAGAATATTGAATACAAGTATGAAACAATGACATTTTAAAATAATAATAATAATAATTTTATTTTCACTATAGACAAAAATGTCACCCTTCTTTCTATTTTATAATGGTAAATTAAACAATCTTATTAATTATTCTGCATTATAAAACTTTTTATTCTATTATATATAGATTTAGGTCAAATAACACATATTCTCCTTGTATCTTTAAAACACACAACACTAATTACTATATCTTGACTAATTTAACCATGAGGCTAACTTTTGTACACTATTTTATTATGTGAATTTTTACAAAGTCATATATTAAGAATGTTGAATACTACAAGTATGAGACAATGACATCTTTATAAATCAAATAAAAGTTTTATTTTCACTATAAACAAAAATGACACCCTTCTTTTTATTTATAATGGATAAAAACTTATAAACTATCCTGCATTGTAAAAAATTTCATCTATTATAGATTAATTATAATAGTAAATAATTAAGTATATGTAAGTTTTAATATACATTTTTTGTTACCAATGAAAGTTCTTGGTTGCTATCAATATAAGTATACAATAATGCACATGTCATGTTTAAACAAGTGAATTGAAATATTGCATTTATGTACTGTGTGCAGTAGCCATTTTTGGAGATGCACATTAAATTAAAGCTTTTTGGGGGGGGGGGGGGGGGGGGCGGGGGGGGGGGGGGGGTGGTTAAACAATAAGCACAAATCGCATGCATATCATGTGTTAATTTAAAAATTTATGTGTTTGTGTTTTTTAACGTATAGTTGAAAAAAATAAATAAATTTAGATTATAGTATCCGACATGCAGGCAAGATATTCACTAGAATAATATATCGTAATTTTTTAATTATAATTACTGCATTAATTATATATAATCCGTTTAAGTCACGATGATGATATAGCATTATTTAATTTAATGATTTAATGATGTTTTGAAACTACCTCAGCTCGGAGTCTGGCATTTTCAATCCGCAGCTGCTGTTCTCCTCCGGCGGCGACCATGGGGTCTTTGCCGGCGGCGCTGCCGGCAAATCCACAATTAGGACAACAATTATTCTTAATGGTCTCCCTTAATTCCTTGTTTTGGTCCCGGAGTTTCTCTATCTCCGATTTCAACAATGAATTTTCATGGCGTTCCTGTATGGCCTGCAGGCACCAGTAGTCATCATAATTTGTACAAATGCAGCCAAACAAGGTCTTAAATTGCATAACAACAAGTTGTTCCCTGGGGGTACGACTGACGCTATTATTTTCGCATCCAAGAAAATGTTCAGTAAGACAGTAGTTGCGCAGACACAAAATGACGAACATTAATCAATTACTATGTAATTGTCGGTAGAGCGTGATTAGTTCAATCAAAACCCAACCACTAATATATGCAACTCAAATAATTTAATAACAAAATTGATATATATTCTGTTTCAACTAAAAATTTATTGGGATGTTTGGTAAATAGCTATTAGCTGTACCTTGATTTGTGTTCGTCGATTTTGGAACCAGAACTTGACTTGCCTTGGATGAAGGCCTAGTTGCTTGCTTAGTTGCTGCCTTTGTTTCTCATCTGGATGAGGGGACTCTTTGAATAACCTGAAAAGCGGGTTAACGTTTAGTTATTAATACAATCTGTTAATCGTTAAGAAAACATTTGTTTTAATTTAATTTGCATGTAGCTCTTTTTATTTTCAAGATAATAAAGATATATATAATACTTTAGGAGGAAGAATTAAACCAAAAATCCAAATTAAATGTAATTAAGTAGTTCATGCATGTCATTAGAAGTAGTAGAATAAATTAAATCCCTTAGTGGAATTGTTTTTTTTTTTTTTTTTAATTTGATTTTCTGAAGTCTTCGTGTTCAAAGTCAGAACTCAGAAGAAAACTGACAAAGGAGGAATCCTACTACCAAATCCACTTTAAAAACTATTTCCTTTATTAGTAGTTTAATTAGGGATAATCGTATTGTATAAAGGAGTAATTAATTAATTAATTAAATGCATGCACACCGACATGAAATCCAAGGAATGTGTCATGTATAACCTAATCTTCGGGGGAAATATATATATTTTTGAAATTAAAAAAAAAAAAAGAAAAAAAAAACCTTAAAAAAGAAGATGAAAAAGGAGAATTGAGTATACATACGCTTCCATTTCTCTAATTTGCTCGGCGGTGTGCCTGTGATATTTTTTCCTCTTTTTCTTCTTGGCGTTATCGTCGTCTTCATCGTTGTAATTATCGTCGTGCTCCCTATCACCGTCGAAATCATCGTCGGAGCGCGATCTGGCCGGGCCAGAATTCTCGCTGCTAATCTCCACCGTCTCCTCTCGCCGCGGTCCTCCGGCGCTCCCTTCTTCCGCGTCGGCGTTCGCCGCCCTGGCGGCCGCCGCATCTCGGAATATCCCGGCCTTGAATCCAGACACGAAAACAGCACAATCGAGAGCGGATTAAAACACAGAAGATAAGAAAATCGGAGCGAGAAGAATTGAAGTTGAAGGAGACTTACGAGGCTGAGGGAGAGAGCCGGAGAGGCAAAGGAGTCGGGGGGGTTATTCGACATTTCCACAACTCCCATGGCAGTTAAGCTGTGAAAAATGGCGTCAGTTTTAATTTATGGGGAAGGAAGACATGGTCGATTTGAAGGAAGGAAAGCGTTGCGTGAGTGAGTGGAGCGACGAGGGAGTAGTAGGAGTAGTGGGGGTAGGGTAGGGGTGGGGTGGGGGTGGGGGTGGGGTATGATTGATTTAAGGATATAAAACAATGAAATGAAGAACTGATGGAGATGGATAGGGCGGTTTAAGAGAGAGAGAGAGGGGGGTTCCGCTTGGCCGTGTGGGGGCTGGTAGGAGTTGACCGTTAGATATGAGGGAGAAGGGTTTAAGCTTTTGGACTCAACTAACTTTATTCGATTCAACTGTTCTTCCTAAAATGTATATGGTTTATTTGGCTGCGCAACACCTTGATTTCACTACTTGTGTTAATCCAAACAACTATACATACACCAAACTATATTTATAACAAAAAAACTATTTTTCTTCTATGGTGTTTTTAGAAAACAGAAAAATGATTTGAAAAATATGTTATTTTTCAGAAAATATTTTTATTTGCCGTGTTTAGTTGCATTCTAGAAAACTTTCTTGATGTGTTTGGGTCATTTCCTATAAATGAGCATAATTATTTTTAATTTTAAATATTTAAAATATACAATGAAGGTGTGGTGGTGGCGGCGGCGGTGACGGGTGATTGGCTGCTCCACTATTGCAAACGGAAAATAACTTTCAAAAATAAAAAAAGGAAGTTATTTTTCGAAAAATTCCATCTATTTTTCATTGAACACACTCTTATTTTCCATTGACTTCAATTTTTCACCTCTAGTCAAACACTAGAAATCCGGAAAATAATATTTTATCTTATAATGTGTGATCTATGACATTTTTTTTATTGACACCAAAGGAATTAAACTTCGTTATCAAAAGTCACAAGGAACAAAGGAGGAACAGAAATCCAAACTACACGATCAGACGAAGAACCAGATTCCCTAGCTAACAGATGGGCTACCTTGTTCATTGAACATAATGTTTTAAGATAATTTGAAAAATATGATTCTTGATCGTGTATAAGACATCAGGAAAGTTTTACAATATTTTTTCTTTTTTGTTTGACAAAAAGAGATAATAGCGACATTTTTGTAATTTAGACATATATATATATATATATATATATATATATATATATATATATATATATATATTAATCTGTTTTCCTCAATCAAGTTAACATGATCAAAATACTTTATTTTTCATTTAAAAATAGTGTTGGTAAAGATATTATAAAATTTTCTATATTTTGTTTTTAACAACGTTGGTCAAAATTCTTAATTATTTTAGTAAACTATATACTTACAAACTTGGGGACACGTTCTACAATATTAACTAAATGTCTAAATTGTTTTCAAAAAAAAAAACTAAATGTCTAAATTAAATTTTGAAAAATAAACCTGACCTAACTTACATGACACGCCATATAGTCTTTTAATTATAATACATCCCACCATTAATGTTTCAAATAAAGTTTAATGGAGCGTGTCAAACAGTTAAAAGTTGAGCCAAAATGTTATTTACCAAATAAGTCATTATAAAAAATCAAGAAAGAGGAAAGAGAAGAGTTATGTAAAATTTTATACAATTCATAAAAACTAAAGAATTAAATCAAATTCTTTGATTTCCAAAAAAAGCTCGTAACCATTACGTGAAGTTGCATTTTAAGTAAAACTGATCATAATAAAATTAGTCTAATTTTGCATAACTGAGACTCAAACTAAAAAGATCAATATAAAACTTCCTTGTGATTACGAAATCAATTATCTGACCAACTCAACTAGGATTACGCCAATTAAATCAAATTCTAAATTCAAGTAAATGGACACTTCTCTATGACTATTATTTATTATGACAAATATGGTTTAAAAACCTTTTTTTTAAAAAAAAAATTCCAATCTAATTATCAATTAAATATTGGAGTGTTTGACAATTAACCAACATTTGATAATTGATTGTGTTTGCAAATAACTAAAAGTTAATTGTGTTAACAGTTTTGACCAACATGTAGTATTAACGGTTTGAAAAAATAAATAAATTAGTTGTTTACTAATTAGCAGATAACACGTAAAATGATTTATAAGGATACAAGTCTATTGTTTTATTTTTGAATTATAATTAAATTATTTTTAGTTTTAGATGTAAAGTTTAAAATAAGTTTATTTTTAAACTTATTATTATTAGTTATTGTTTTAACTATTATCTTTATTTGTATTATTAAAAATAATATCATAATTATAAAAGTAGTTAATAATTGAATTGAAAGCATTGTAAAGCTTCCCAGCCAGTCGATTTGGACGGAGGAAATTAAAAAGATAATTTTGATCTATGGATCATAAATGCCCAAAGACCACAAAGCAATGGCAATAAGCACCGTATAGTATGTCACAGTCTCATCTTCGCATCATTGTATCATTGTTATCTTTGTGCCAACACCTTAATCACCAGAACTTGCGAACCGGCCGGCCAGGTTCTTTAGTCAACCTAGTCACACAACCATGATATCTCTAAGGATATAATTTGTGATGATGACCTATATCTAAAGACTTTTGGGGCAACCTTTTGTATAATTCACATGTTCGTAGGGGTAGGGGTCATGTTAGAGTATAAGTAGAATGATGTGAGGATGAAGCTGGTAGGGACGAGACATGTTCTAATATCAATTGTTATATAAACAGCTTATTATTACATTAAAAACTATAATTATGTAACAGTAGTGTCATGTTTTGATGGCATGATATTAGACTAGACTTTCTAAACTTCTGTCTAACAAATTATATATTATTGGAGTGCGTGCAATTATGAAAGTTAGAATTTTGTAATTGGTCTAATATAATAAAGTTTTAATATTATTTGATATTATATAAATCCTATATATATAAAGGGTTTTTGTATGTCATCCATAAATATCATGATCAAATGTAAATTAAACTAGGTTTTCTCATGACAAGTGCGGATTAATTTGATCCATCCATCTAGAATGATCAATGGCTAAAAGATGACGGGATCAATTTTATAAATATTAGTATAAGTGAATCAACTTAGGAATTTCGTGTATCTATTTTTTTAATGTAAAAACTAATTAGACCAAATATGTTCTTTTTGTAAACTAACACCAATAACCCAATTGCACATGAGACATTGTACTACCAACAAAAAATAAAATAAGCGGACAAGCAATGAAAACGAAGACAATGACTAACCTATCCAAAAGTGGATTAACAAAATTTAGAGTAATTCTAACCAAAAGCAGCATCTACTACTTAATAATTAAACAAGCGGGGAAATGGGCGAGGGGTGCATGATATTTGGGTTGCAAGAGGAGCTCCGACAATTACTCACTTGTTCACCAATAACTATTTTATATTTTTTTGTAAGGCAAATGAGTGAGAGAACAATATCATTAAGGGCACGATTGACAATCGTTATGCTGTGCATCCGTATGCACCATGCATGGTGCATACGGATGTCAAAACGACGTCGTTTTATTAAAAAACGCGCGTCTCCCCTTTAAAAAAAATTCAGGTTCGATTCCCAGCAACAACATTATATTGTTCATTCATTCTGGAATTTTAGTTCATAGATTATGGAATTATAGTTCATTGATTATGGAATCATAGTTCATCGATTATGGAATTGTAGTTCATCGATTCTGAAATTTTAGTTTATAGATTATGGAATTTTAGTTCATTCATTCTGGAATTTTTAGTTCATAGATTAGATTATGGAATTATAGTTCATCGATTATGGAATTTTAGTTCATATGTTGTTGCTGGGAATCGAACCTGATTTTTTTTTTTAAGGGGAGACGCGCGTTTTATTAAAACGACGTCGTTTTTGCATCCGTATGCACCATGCATGGTGCATACGGATGCACAGCATAATTTGCCCACGATTGAGGAGTATGCAAGGGTCTCAATACAAGTTGTGAAGTATTAGATAATTGTTTTTAGAAAAGTGCAAATTAAACATTAATTTTAATGTCAACAATAATAATTTTCTCGTATATATTTTGTAGTACTTATTTAAATATAAATATTAGATATTAAATCAGTATCACAATGCACGTATAAAACTAGTTAAATAATAAATATTGATCGGCTTAAACATTTGTGTCTCTGCACCGTCAAAGTTTAATAATGGTTGAGGACAAATTGTCCCATTATAAGTATAAGTCTGGAAGAGTTAATAGAATTATTATAGGCAATTTTAAAACTTGTTAACAATTGTATAGAAATTTTTTAAGACTGAATAAGTGAGTTATTTTTCAACCAGACGTTTTAACGATATGTTGAAATTTAACTAGATAGCAATAAATAATTTAAGAAATTTTGGCAACAAAAAATTTGTTTAGCACATTCTTCAAAAAAAAAAATTGTTTAGCACATTTGAATAATTTATAAATGTAAGAACATTTTTAATAATGAATAATAAAACTTATAAGTATGAATATATAGTGCAATAAAGGAGTGAGAGTAATATTTATAGTAGTTTGAGGATGATATAAGTCATATACTCTATATTTTCCTTTTTTTGACTAGAGGAAAAATTTATTAGTAATATTCTTCACACTTCTTTATATTTGGATTCAAATTTTCTCGTTGGAAAGAAACAATTTTGAAATATGCAATTATGTATCATCCCGACACTCCTACGTAGACGTTTAACCAACTGTTGCTTACAACTTATCCTTAAGTTCAGACTTTTCACTCCTTTTTATGCAACTTGCTTGTTTAGACAATGATCAACATTTATCAATGTGTCAAGGTTCAAAATTAATAGTGAGATACCTCATATAATGTTTGATTTGTTTTGAGAACCTCCTAGACGATCCGATATATATATATATCTTGAAAAGATAGTTTGATAGTGCTTGCATGTCTTATTGTTGGCCTTATTCCTCCTTTTGCCTAATTGTTGGTTTGGTATACTACTATATATATATATATATATATATATATATATATATATATATATATATATATATATATATCTTGTTTTACTATTTTACTATGACCTTCTTTTCTTACTTATGTAAGATTTACATCATCTTTAATTTATGTTGTTTATGTCTTACTGCCTTGTTGCTTTCATCTTGTAAATTTTAGCCCATGAT